TATATATATATATATATATATATATATATATATAAATAATTTTAAAAAGCATCATAAAATTAGTTCACATGATTTATGCTAAATATTTCAAGTCAATATTTCTCAAGCCATACAATAGCTTTGTTGCTTTTATCCCAAATGCTTCAGCACTCATTACCACTGCTGTTTGGTGACTAAAACCTTTCACTTTTGGGTAAACTATTGCTTTCTTGTAAACCTTTACAAGTTTTTTCTGAATATTTGAAGATCAGGTGACCGTATGGAGGTACTATGGAGCTTCTTTGAGGGCTTGACATCTCTCCACAGGTTTGGTAAAATCCTCCTTGAAACCTCTGATGGAGGATATACTCTGTAGTGAATGTGCTAGTCTTTGTCAGTTTTTCACTTCTCATGTTTCACAATTTCCATATTATTATGAGCGCTGGCTTCAGGGCTCGACCCATCAAAAGAATAATCTCTGAATTCATAAGAGACCTGGGAAATGATTCCATGCAAATGAAGATCAGATCAGATATCTTGTGCACAGTGTGTGTGTGATTTCTGCCTCCCTCCAAAGGCGCTGGGGGTTTTACGTGAAAGAACACTGAATGGAAAAAGTCTTGCTCTCATTTCTTTCACCCTTTTCAGACCTTTTGAATTTGTCCATGTGAAGATCCTGAAGGCGAAACAAACACATCAACCTCCTCAAAACTGGGTACAAATTTACACACTTGGTTTTTCTCTGCTTTTGACTTATTTATTCTGTCAGGGACAAAAAAAAATAATTAATTAAAAGAAATCAAGGAAACATTGAGTGCAGATACAGATACTTGATCTAATGCAAACATGTTTAAACATTTTTCTTTGGTATAAAAAACTTTTTGGGGTTACAAATTTTTTTTTTCATCAACTTTTATCACCTGTGAAAGGAAATGATATAGGCTAATTTTCACACGTTTTTTGGTCTAGTTAGTGAACAAGGGAATAGTATGGAAGCTCATTTCCATCAGAGAAGAAAAATATTATGCTTTGGTAAATTATAATTATGAGATAAAAATTCAAGATGATTGGATACTAAGTCATAATTGAAATGAAATCGAAATTATGAGTTAAAAAGTCAAAATGACAAAAAATCATAATCATTAGACACCAAGTCGTAATTATGAGATAAAAAAGTAATTGACATAAATAGTCAAAATTATGACATACTGTCATTATGAGTTAAATGACTGAATGATGACATCAAAATTCCTAATTATGAAAAAAAAAAAATTTATGGAATTAAAAAGTCGAAAGTATGGCAGTCGTGAATATGACAAAAAGTAAAACTTATGACATACTATGTCATTATTATGAAATAAATTAGAAAAGTTGAGAAAGTCAAAAGTGACTGAATTGTAATTATGACATAATTGTGACAAAAATGTCACTTTTTATGTCATAATGACTTAATTTTGACTTTTTATCTTATAATTATGACTTTATCTCATAATTATGATTTTTCAAAGCTTGTTTTTTCTTCTTATTTGGCAGAAATGGGCTTCCATAGAAGGGTAAAGGTGTAGTGTAGGATGCTTTTTCCACAGAGCATCTCTTCTGCTGAATGAGTTTGAGCTGCACAGAAGCTTGAAAAGAGCTTTTGCATTAATCTACGGTTGAGATGACAGTCTGAGGTTTGTATTTTTGATGAACTCTGGGATTGAGTATAAGACTGCTTTCATTTTTGTTCACTGGACCGTAATCCTCTAACCCTGCTTTCTTAATCAAAATGGAGAGTTTTTAATCTAGTGTCGCACAGCGCAGGATTATGGATCTATGACCTTGTGCTGCAGCACAGCTGTTTCCTCCTCAGAGCAGCTCTCTATTGTAGTGCTTGTAACGTCTGGAATAATCAGACTCGTCATATCTTTCTCTGCATGTGTGATTAACCTCCTCTGTTATTAGTGTGACTCTGCCCAGCTCCTCTCTGCACGTTTAACTACTTTGAATATTTCTCTATGATAGGGAACAATAAGGCCCCTTGAATTTCGTTATTTCCCTAAAATACTATGACAACAAATCCCACCATACTTACAATATTAT